ATTGTAAATAGTGCTGCTATGAACATGGGGGTACATATATTCTTTCTGATTGGTGTTTCAGGCTTCTTAGGGTATATTCCTAAACATGGGATCACTGGGTCAAATGGCAATTCAATCTTTAATTTTTTGAGATAACGCTATATTGTTTTCCATAGTGGCTGCACCAGTCTGCATTCCCACCAGCAGTGTACTAGAGTCCCCTTTTCTCCACACCCTCGCCAACACTTGTTTGATGATTTGTTGATGGCGGCCATTCTGACAGGTGTGAGGTGTTACCTCATTGTTGTTTTAATTTGCATCTCTGTGATGATTAGTGATGTTGAGCATTTCTTGGTCATTTGTATGTCCTGTTTGGAGAGGTGTCTATTTAGCTCTAGTTCAATGCTTCTTGTTGGAGTTGTTGCCTCTGAAGCAGAGGCTGCTGGCTTCCTGGGTGATGCTGGAGTGTCGCATCTGTCTCATGCCCTTTAGAAGACAGTATAGGTTTCATGTAGAGCTATATTGTTACTCAGTGTTAACTATTACTAACATCATCATTATTAATAATGGCTATTATCATTAGCCCCTTCTCAAGGAAAAACCAATACACTGTAGGTGACTATAGATCTTTTTCTTTGGGAACTTCCTTAGTCTTAATTAGAAAATACCACAACAGTAAGTATTTTATTATATAAAATTTTGACTTAGGATATGGCAGTGCTTCCACAGTCTCATTGGAAAATTTCATGTGACATTTCTAAAATGGCACATTGTGAATAAGATCCATGTATTCTCGTTTCTAAACCCAGCAATGTGTTGTGCTTACAAGAAGACCAATGTTATTCACAAGTCACTAACTTTTCTCTTTTCACAGCATGGGCTATTTTTAGACCCTCTCCTGTTTAAAGGCCATTTGCACATGTCATTGCAGAGAGGACTACCACCATAGAATTCTGGACATCTCAAAGATCACTGAGTCTGACAGACTTCTCTATAATCTTCTATTTTCTCTCTGCTCCAAATGTTGGTACTTAAGCTCTTGGGAAATCTAGAGCACATTCTCCTTTCCCTGCATGTTTTCATTTGCTAGAAGAATGTAAATATCTCAACACCCACAATTTTATTGTAAGACTCATGGAGTTGAGAGAATGTCCTCTGTGTCACCTAGCATGTTTCAGGACTATCATAAATATTAAACAGCAGCAGTAACTCTTTACCTCAAGTTTCCCCACTGTTCATTTTGTTTAAAAATCTGTGTAGCAAAATTTTATGCCCTTAACTCATAAAGTTGCCGTTAAACAAATGTTGGCAGGTAATGGGTCCAGTGGGATTTCAGCAGTCATTCATTCATCCAACAACTCTATACCGAGGCACTACCATGTTCTAGGCATTTGAGATCCATCAGTGAACAGAACAAAGATCCATTCCCCTGGACTTTACATTTTGGCGTCACAATAAATCACAAAGATAATAAATAAATAGGGCATGCATAATTTTAGAAGATGGTGAAAGAAAAGGAACAGCAAGGCAAAGGAAATGGTGGGGGTGGGAGTCAGGTTGCAATTTGAGATACGGTGGTAAGGATCTTATTGAGAAGGAGACATTGGAGCCAAGGCTTAAAAGAGGGAGGGACTTAGGTATCTTAAGTTTATATGCATATATTTTATATATGCCTGTGTCTCAGAGACAAGTGCTCTAGACAGAGGGACCAGCCCTGGGTGTCCAAGGATATCAAGGAAGCTGTGGGCCTGGTGTGGAGTGAGAGAGGGGTGAAAAGAGTAGGCAATGAGGTGAGATAAGAGAGCTAACGGGGGGCCAAATTGCTGTAAGAATTTTTACCTTTACTCCAAGTGAAGTAGAGAACCATTGCAGAGTTTTGAGTAAAGGAAAGACTGATCCCTCTGGAACCTGCGTTAAGACTAGATTGTAGGCCCTGGCTGGTGTGGCTCAGCGGATAGAGCATCGGCCCTCGTACCAAAGAGTCGTGGGTTCGATTCCAGTCAAGGGTACATACCTTGGTTGCAGTTTGGTCTCGGCCCTGGTCAGGGTCATGTGGGAGGCAACCAATCAATGTGTCTCTCTCATATTGATGTTTCTCTCTCTCTCTCTCTCCCTCCATCTCTCCCAGTCTATCTGAAGTTAAATGGGAAAATATCCTCACGTAAGGGTTTAAAAAAGGAATAAATTGTAGGGGCAAGGGTAGAAGTAGGGAGACCAGTCAGGAGGCAGTTGCCTTGAGCCAGGTGAGAGCACACCGTGGCTAGAACCAGAGTGGGAAGTGGTGAGATGTACTTTAGATATATTCTGAACCAACACAGTTTCCTGGTGGATTGAATATTTCACAGTTGGAAATGAGAGAGAAGTGAAGGATGACTGTCAAGGAATTTGGCTTGAATGACTGGGAGGAAAGAGATGGTCTCAAACGATATGGGAGAGGCTATATATGGAACATGGTTTTCCTGGGCATTGGGGGAGGGAGGGAAAAGGATCTGGAGTTAAGCTTTGGACACGTTGCATTTGATATTATCTACTAGAAACCTAAGTGGAGGTGCCAAGTCAGCAGTGGAACAGAGGAGCCTGGTGTTAGAGATCTGGGCTGGAGCTCTACATGTGGGAGTTGCTGGCATGGAGGTGGTATTTAAAGCAGTGAGGCTGGTAGGGTCTTTTCAGAAGTGTGTGTAAGGTTACAGACCCTGGGCGGACTGTTTGCTACACCAACATTAAGGGGCAGAGTTGGGGGAAACGGGAGGATGAACCAGCCAAGGAGGTGGAGAAATAGGGAACAGATAGGATGATAACAGAGTATGTGTCTTGGAAATCAAGTGAAAACCATGTACCAAGATGGGGTGGGCCTGGTGACTATGCCAGGTGCTGCTGGTGGGTCAAGTAATTTGGGAACTGAGAATTGGCTACTGCATATATCAGCAAGAGGGGTGGGGTCACAGCAGATTTAGAGGAGGTATGGGTTTTTCTTAATTGTCTTCCTCTTCAGAGGACAAAGTTTAAATAAAACTGTATTTGGAGCACTCAATCTTTATGGTTGACCCAGCAGCTTACACTGGAATACACATTAAAGAGACCAAACATGTAAATGTAAGTGAACTCTACTTTTACATATATATATTATATTGTATATAATATATATAAATATTTAAAAAATATATAACAGCTTTATTGAAACATAATTTATATATCATACAATTTACCCACTTAAAGTGTATACAATTCAGTGGTTTTCAGTCTATCCACAGAGTTATGTAACTAACAATCAATTTTAAAACATTTCATTGTGCCCTGGCCGGTTTGGCTCAGCGGTTAGAGCGTCCGCCTGCGGTCCGGAGAGACCCGGGTTCGGTTCCCGCTAAGGGCGCGTACCTTGGTTGCAGTTTGTCCCCGGCCCGGGTTGGTCGTGCAGGTGGCAGCCACTTGATGTGTCCCTTTCACATCGATGTTTCCCTCTCTCTCTCTTCCTCTCTCTCCCTCCCACTCTGTCTGTACAAAGAATGGAAAAATGTCCTCGGGTGAGGATAAAAAAAAATAAAAATAAAAAAATAAAACATTTCATTGCCCCAAAAGAAACCTCATGCCCATTAGCAGTTCCCCCCCCTCCCCCCAAACTCCTCAGCCCTAGGCATCAGCTAATCTACTTTCTGTTTCTATGGATTTGCCTATTCTGGATATTTCATATAAATGGAATCATATAATATGGTCTTTTGTGACTGGCTTCTTTCTTTTAGCATAATGTTTTCAAGGGTCATCCATGTTCTAGCGTATATATCAGTACTTTATTTTTTTATGCCTGAATAATGTTCCACTGTATGAGGATACCACATTTTATTTATCTGTTGATCAGGTGGTAGGTTGATGGACATTTGGGTTGTTTCTGCTTTTTAGCTATTAAGAGCAATACTGCTATGAACATTTGTATACCAGTTTTTGTGTGGACATATGTCTTCTGGGGTGTATACTTAGGAGTGGAATTCGATTTCTATTTTCTTGTTTATATTACCAAATAGCCTATATTGGTATTGCCAAAATTTCAGGGCTAGAAATAAAAAAATGAGACAAAGTTGAAGAATAGGACCTAGAGCACACATTATCTTCTGTTGTGTCCCAGCTCCCTAGGTTCCTAGAGCTATTTCAGCCATAGTTACTGTTGAGTTCCTGCAGTGCTAAATGAATGGATATTTTTCTTTGTTCAGTTTTGAAGCACAATACCAGGGTAAGCCGCATCAAAGAGGCCAGATAGTGAGGGAGAGAATCCACCTGCATTGGCTTATGGAAAAATAAGGTTATTTCAGAATGCAGGTCATTGTTTACTTTTAGCTGCATAAAAATCTTCAAGTAGATTTTCTCACAGCGTCTCTAAAATAAAGGTGCCAGGAAAAGCAGCCAAATACATTGCCTTAAAGAAGAAAAAAAGACTTGTAATTGCCTATCAGTCCTTGTATTTACTTCTGGGGAGCACCAATTTAAAATCTCAAACGTGACTTTTCAGTGGGATTATATTAATATGAAAGAGTTTTATCAAATATTGATCATGTGTATGTGCGTGTGTGTGTGTGTGTGTGTGTGTGTGTGTGTGTGTGGCTTTAAACATTTCCATAATGAGTTCCCAAGTGCTTTTTTGGCCGTGGTTATTAAAGCTTGTGTGTTTGCGATTTATTTGGCAAAATGCCTTTAGTGAAGAAAGGATATAGTGTTCTCTTGGTTCTTTGCCCAAAGTAATTTTGGAGAAGTTTGTGGCTGTATTTAGTTCATGTCATTCATTGGAGACAAGTCATTGTAATTACATTTGATCGCAATCAGTTTACAGTTGTTTTATCATGTTTTCATGCTGAATATCTACTCAGACATCATAGCAAAACTTAATGGCTACTGTTTTATTTGTATATAAAATGTTTTATAGCCTTTTTTGCAGTACACATCGGGTTTCAATCATCACTGCTACATAGTGAGAGGAAAGTGATGGATAAAAAAAAACTATCAAAAATCTTTAACTACATAAAATTTTATTTCAGGTCACCTTGCCATAAAAGATATTGAATGTATTTTGTGGCTTTCCCCCCCGACATGTTAACCATTGTGGAAGGGTTACAATATTTGGAGGAAACCATGTGAAATGTGGAACTTATTCACCTAAGATGGTTTACATTTGTGTTTGTTTTCCATTGGAAATGAGTATACCAGTATTTTGAATGGCTCCTAGGTAATAAAGTAAAGGCAACTTATTGTTATTCTGGGGATTTAAAAGCAGGTTATCTTCTTAACTGTAAAACTAAATACTTTGTCATTGTTGTTTCCTAAATTCTGTGGTCACATCTACACCATGGAGCAGAGCTACATTTCAGGATGCTACTTACAGCCACCAAATGCTAGAGGCTCTTATGTATCAGACAGTCCCTGATTTGCTAATTGTGGAAGACTTGCTTCACCAGTGAATTTGGGTAACTTCACTAGTTTTCTCCCAAGTGTCAATTTTCACCATTCCTTATTTTCCCCAAAAGGTCCAGCCCCTCAGAAAACTGCTGTTGGTCTATATGTCTGAGTCTGTGTGGTTGAAGAAGCTCCTGTTAGAAAAGTGTAATTAATGGGAAACTTTGACATCCAGCTGAGAAAACTAGTTTGCATAAAAAAAGGCAGATAGAGGATTAAAGAAATTTTAGTCCTAATCTAATTAACACCAATTAAAAGATGCAGATGAATTTGCACCAACAAATTGTTAATTATGCACCAATTTGCCTTTTCTATGACCAAACTAAAATTAGGTAAGTATTATTATCTTTTTTGTTTTAAGAGGCTTTGCAGTGGGTTTGTTACAATCATCTTTTGTATAATTAAAGAAAACGTGGGAGGTAAGAGTTAGTGTGAAGTATTTCCCTCTCCTGATATTTTCATGTAGGGAGTTAGCTCTTTAAAAACAGAAAGTACAGGATAATTCTCCCAGCATTCATTCACTTACCAGACATTTAATGAGAACCTACTATGTGCTGAATTGTTGCTCCATGCGGTGAAAAACTGAGCATGGATGCAGTAATTGGTTTTTCTCACTCAGAATATTTTAACTTCTAAAAAAAAAATTTTAATTACAGTTGGCATTCAATATTATATTAGTTTCAGGTGTACAGCATAGTGGTTAGACATTTATATAACTTACAAAGTGATCCCACCTGACACCATTATAGTTATTACAATATTATTGACTATCTATATTCCCTATGCTGTACTTTACATCCCTGTGACCATTTTATAACTACCAATTTGTTAAAAAAAAAATTAACAGTTTGTATTGTTGATATACTATTCCTTGTGAACTTGTGAACTAAATTATACAGCTAATTAAACTCTGCCCTGGATACATGTTATAAAAGGAGAATTAAACTTCTTTTAGGCCTCAAGAAATGATCTTTAATGTCCCAGAACTCCTCTTAAACAATGTGGCCTTTTGGGGGTGTTCTGCTTGTCCTCCTCACTTGGCAGATCTGTGTTTCAGTTTACCAGAGTGTTACTCAGATGTCCACTGTGCTGGGACTGTCTTTTTACCTTTTGAATCACTCTTATAGCTCCTCAGATGGTGCTCTGAGTAATTGTGTAGGGGGCGGTGAAGCACAGACCTGTTATATCTGCAAATGACACATCTGTCCAAGTGTCATGTAATGAGTAACCGCAACCCACTTTATATAAACCATATTTCTTCTGCTTTTAAAACGGGAGAAGGAGTGGGAATATATGCTAGAAATGAGAAGAAAAGCATAAGTAGGGATTCCTCTAGCGTTAATTATATACAAGATTCAGCAACTGCCCTCAGATTTCCAGATACCTAGTGTTAAACTTCATTTGAGGAAAATGTTGGCCAACTAGGTCCTGGCATCAGAAACAGCATTTTAAAGAGCTGTGTACTATATTACTGTCCAGTGCATATACATAGAATTTAAATGACAATATCTAAATGCCCGTGTTTTATTCTTGGGGCAATAGTCAATACAAAAATTTAGGATGCTTGGTTTGCTTTTTTTTTTTTTTTAATCCTCACGTGAGGATACATTTATTAATTTTTGAGAGAGACAAACACCAGTGTCAGAGAGAAACATTGATCGGCTACCTCCTGTATGCACCCCAACTGGGGGTTGAACCCAGAACCTAGTTATGTGCCTTCACTGGGAAATGAGCCCGAAAGGGTGTATGGGACTATGCTCCAACCAGCTGAGCCACCCAGCCAGGGCTTGGTTTGTACTTTTTAATATTTGTATTGGAAACTTGCATTCACAACTTTGGCTGAAAGCAAACTGTGATAAGGTAGCTTTCACTGGTTGGTGTTTTCATGGGTAATGGCAGTTGGAGTTGGCCTACTAATGGGATAATTTCAAAATGGCAATGCCTTATGACAACAAATGGAAGGTATTCTTTATTTTTTATTTTCTTAAAAAAATTTTTTTTCTTGCCTGGCTGATATAGCTCAGTGGTTGAGCATCGACCCATGCACCAGGAGGTCACTGGTTTGATTTCTGGTCAGGGTACAGGTTGTGGGCCAAATCCCCAGTGGGGAGCATGTAGGAGGCAGCCAGTCGATGTTCTCTCTCATTGATGTTTCTGTCTCTCCCTCTCTCTTCCTCTCTCTCTAAAATCAATAAAGAAAAAAAATATATATATAAAAAAAAGCCCTGGCCGGTTTTGCTCAGTGGTTAGAGCATTGACCTGCGGTACAGAGAGACTAAGGGCACGTATCTTTTTTTTTTTATCCTCATCCAAGGACATTTTTCCATTTTTTGTTCAGATAGAGTGGGAGGGAGAGAGAGGAAGAGAGAGAGAGACAGAAACATTGACGTGAAAGGGACACATCGAGTGGTTGCCACCCGTACGACCCAACCAGGGCCGGGGACAAACTGCAACCAAGGTACACACCCTTAGCGGGAACCAAACCCAGGTCTCTCTGGACCACAGGCCGACGCTCTAACTGCTGAGCCAAACCAGCCAGGGCTAAGGGCACGTATCTTGGTTGCAGTTTGTCCCCGGCCTTAGATGGGTCTTGCAGGTGGCAGCCACTCGATGTGTCCCTTTCATGTTGATGTTTCTCTCTCTCTCTCTCTCTCTTCCTCTCTCTCCCTCCCAGTCTATCTGAACAAAAAATAAAAAAATGCCCTCGGGTGAGGATAAAAAATTTTTTTTTTCTTTATTGATTTTTAGAGAGAGGAAGGGAGAAGGAGAGGGAGATAGAAACATTGATGAGAAAGAACATCGATTGGTCGCCTCCTGCATGCCCCCACTGGGAATCCAGCCCACAACCTGGGCATGTGCCCTGACCAGGAATTGAACCAGCGACCTCTTGGTGCATGGGTTGACACTCAACCACTGAGCCACACCGACCGGTTGGAAGGCACTCTTTAAAAACAATGTTTTCCTCAGCACATTCATAAGAGAATATCTGATACCATCTTTGACTTCTAGAGCACTCACTCACTGTACTTCTTTGCACTCATGCCTACAGGTCTCTAAGGATACAGTGCACCCTTCCATAAAAATAATATACCCATTTCATAGATTCCATGTGAAATGTTTTGTGAATCAAGTTAGAAGGTGAGTAACATAGCCCTAATGAAATGGCATTAGTAGGGTTAGAGTAACAGTTGCCTGGCTGATTAATTAATATTCCTGTTGCGTTAAAATGAAAGAATGATACCTAAATTGACCAAGTCTTATAAAAGGCAATTTTGCATGAGGCCTCCAAAAATAATTGACAAGGGTTGGTCAGCTACAGACCAAGACTCTCACCCCAAATCCAAAACCTAGAGTTTGTCACTATTAGTAGAAAAATGTTTTTGTTTTATACCTATGTAAGATCTTGAGTTTTCCAATGTACTTGCATCATTGAATGGTGATGACTCTTGGAATTCTCCATTGCAACTACTGTGTGCCTATGCAATACCTGTGCTCCATGTGCAGCCCTTACTCAGACCAGCAGCACTGATTTGGGCTGGCTCCTGAGATTAATGTGTTTGTCTCACTAGTCGATGCATCAGGCTTGAACCAAATAAACAACTCAGTTATGAAACTGCATCACATTTTTCGTGATGTTTTACTGTGACCTATTCTATATGCTCTTTCTTATCTTGTTAAAGAAAGAAAAATATAATTACTTTTTTTCTATAAATGTTACTTTCCCCTATGTGATTATTTTAAACCAGAGCCATAACATCAGAAGATTACGAGGGGAGTCATTTGTGAATAAACTCTTTAAGAAGGATGTAAATTTGAAATTTGCAGCATCTAAAGAGGCCTGAAAATGAAATATAATGAGTGATTCAGGATTGGATCATGGACCAGAAGAAAAGTAAACATACCTCACATTATTTTGGACAGTTAATGAAATTTGAGTAAGGTCTGTAGAATAGATAATAGCATTGTATCAGTATTCTATTTCCTAATTTTGATCATTGTAGTACAGATGTATAGAACAGTGTCCTTTGGGCAAGTATTTAGGAGTAAAGGGGCATAATGAATACAATTTACCAATGAATGGTTCAGGAGAAAGAATAAACATGTACATAATATATGAACATCAGTCAATCAATAAATCAATAGAGGGCAGTAATGATAGAGCAAATGTGATAAAATGTTAACAGTGAAGCTACAAAAGGGTATTCAGGAGATTTTTTTGTGCTATCCTTGCAGATTTTCTGTTAGTTTTAAATTATTTAAAATTTTTTAAAAATTCAAGTAGAAATTCTGGGTTCTTTCCCCTAATTAATAAACCTTTTAGTGTCTGATTCTAGAAAGAAGTTAGAGGCTCTACTATGACAGGGATTCTCAGACAAATGCTGCCACTGCATCACCCGTGGAGCATCAGGGATACTGACCCAGCTAGTCAAAACAGATTCTCAGGATGAACGTTTACCAGGGCAGGTTGGTTATCATCAACAGTTTAATGTATTTCTTCAACATCCACCAGCCTAATGGAACAGTGAACTAAACGATCCCCTCCAAGTGTACAAATAAGATAAAATGTTCCCAAATCCATTTATTTCTCACTCATACCTCCCCTGTATGATTGAGCCATGGGTTTAAGTGAACACGAGAACTGAAGTTCACTGTATTGTATGTTCCCTTTCAGACAGGACTTCACAAAGACCCTCTTTTATAAAGAGAACAACCAGCCAATAAAACAGTATTAGAGTACATTATATATGTGACCAATCATTTTTATAAAATCTGATGTAAGCCTTTGGGCATAATTGAAGTTCTTAGCAAAATACTTTGGTTTTTAATATTTCTATGACCCTCTAAGGGGGACTTAGCAATTACTCTTAAATTTTCAAAGTGGTACATGGAGTTTTAGCTGTGTGACTTCCATTAAAGTCCATAGGAGTCTTGTTGCTAAAACATCACACAACTCATGAAATGTGCTCCTTCTTGTGAAATTGTTAGAAGTAATGGGTGTGGAAGTGTAGCCTGGTATTCCTGGTACATTTACAGGCTTTCTGCACTTGTTTCACATTTTATACTTTTATAAAAACTCAACAGTTTTATAGGAATTGGAAAATAAAAGCCTATTATATGTATTCTGAAAGTGAAGGGTAGAAAAATATAGTAGAAATGATAAAAAAAAAAAAGAAAAAGAAAGGAAACAAGTTCTAAAATAATCAAGAAAATCTAAATGTTTTAGAATATTTATCTTTTGCCCAGCTGGTATGGCTCAGTGTTTGAGCATCGACCCATGCACCAAGAGGTCAGTGGTTTGATTCCCTGGTCAGGGCACATGCCCAGGTGTGGGCCCGATCCCCAGTGGGGGGCATGCAGGAGGCGGCCAATTGGTGTTCTCTCTCATTGATGTTTCTATCTCTCTCTCCTTCTCCCTTCCTCTCCCTCTAAAATCAATAAAGAAAAAATATTTTTTAAAAAGAATATTTATCTTTTTATTTCAAAATAAATATATCAACTTCTTGATTTCTTAAAAATATGTTTTTATTGATAATTTTATTTATTTATTTATTTTGGAGGGGGCAGAGGAAGGGAGAGAGAGATAGAAACATCGATCAGCTGCCTCCTGCACACCCCCGACTGGGATGGAGTCCACAACCCAGGCATGTGCCCTGACCAGGAATCAAACCAGGAACCTCTCAGTCCAAGGGATGATGCTCGATCCACTGAGCCACATAAGCTGGGCAACTTCCCGATTTTTAAAGTATGCCTTAAAGCCCTAGCCGGTTTGGCTCAGCGGTTAGAGCGTCGGCCTGCAGTCCAGAGAGACCCGGGTTCAGTTCCCGCTAAGGGCATGTACCTTGGTTGCAGTTTGTCCCCGGCCCTGGTTGGTCATGCGGGTGTCAGCCACTCGATGTGTCCCTTTCACGTCGATGTGTCTCTCTCTCTTCCTCTCTCTCCCTCCCAGTCTATCTGAACAAAAAAATGGAAAAATGTCCTCAGGTGAGGATTAAAAAAATAATAATAATAAATAAAGAATGCCTTAAAGTAACAGCAATTTAAAAGTGAGATTTAGTCCAGCTGATGTGGCTCAGTGGTTGAGCATTAACCCATGCACCAAGAGGTCGCTGGTTCCAATTCTTGGTCAGGACCCATGCCCAGGTTGTGGGCCTGATCCCTAGTGGAGGGCATGCAGGAGGCGGCCAATCGATATTCTCTCTCATCGATATTTTTATCTCTATCTCCCTCTCCCTTCCTCTCTTTCTAAAAATCAATAAAGGAAAAAAAATTATATTGTAAAATTGACATTTAATGACAAACTTTCAGTAAAACCACGTATAATGTTTTGGGTTTTCAACTGCCTCTTCTATTAAAACCTTCATAGTTTAATTATCATCTGAGCAAACCCACTCCTTCAGATGGGGGGTATTCCCAGGGGATAAGCCATAAAGTTTGGTCAGTCCCCTCTGCCAGGAACCTTACACATATGCTGTGTTCATCTGCCTAGCACAGCATCAGCCTAGCTGGTGACTCAGCTGAGGAGTCACAGGGCGCATGCAACCCATTGCCTCTTAGGGCAGAAACATCTCTGGAGTTCCATTTCCTTGGCTCTTTGGGGGACACTGGAGACCAGGAACTGGCTTCAGACATAGATGTATTTGTTTCAATACCTTCAGAGAGAGAGAGAGAGAGAAGGGGGTGGTGTTGAGAGAGGAAGTGGGGAAACTCAATAACTATTTCTTGAGTTAATTACTGTTGGCTCAGTTTCAGTGGTGCTGTTTTGCTGCAGATTTTTTTTACTAGCAGAATTGAATTATCATTTTCATTCATTACTAAATCTCAGGAAATCTTGAAATCTTTAGTAATTAGTAATGTCTGGATAGTAGATTTTAGGATAGGTTTTAAAAATAGAGAACCAATTTTTCAACATAGCATTGAAAGAATAGCATCCGTTAGGCATGAGCTACACCACCGATTTGAAGTGTCCCAGCTGGGGTCAGAATTAGGAACTGTCTAAATAAGAGAATTTCAGAAAGGCGGGGGAGAATATCAAGGTACAAATGGGAGGAAATAAGCCATTGTTCCTTTAAAAAGCATGGTAACCTCGATAATGAGAGGCTATGAAATAGTTCTTTTTATAACAGTGACTTCTTAACTTCACAGCCCTAAGAGCTCCTAGGGTCACTAGTAGAGAGCCCCAGGGCTACACCTGCCTTGCATAGATTAGGGCCTGGTGCAGCTGTCTTCATTTGCAAGACTAAGGTGTAGCCTGATGGGTTGGTGGGTCTCAGCAGGGAGCATTCCTTTTCGATCTCAGTAGGCTGGCATTTCAGATTAAGATGGCCATTGCAAGCCAGGCTCAGAAATTGCAAGATGAGGCAGGTAACCATTTCCTGAGTTTTATGTATCAGACCTTTCGAGGTATAAAGCAGGAACCCATATATTTGGCTGCCTTGAATTTACCATCCCTTTTCCAGTCAGCTCTGCCTAAAGCATCTAGCATATCCAGGGACCAGGCTTGCCTTTGGCACACAAACATGTTTGTAAAGAGCGGGTGAATGTATGGCATGAACTATTGATGAGGACAGAAGGGAATGCTCTTTGGAACCTATAACCATTAGCATCGGTCTGTGGATTGGATACACTTTCTCTGTAATGTGTGTTCGTTTCACAGAAAATACAATTAGGATAATTCTTGTGTGTTCTCTACAGGAAGGAAGTAGTATACTGCTTGTGAATGGTAGGCTAAATGAGGGAATCATTAAAGGGTTTTTAATAGACTTTTGAACCAAAAGACATAAGGGACTATAGTTATGTTGCCTTAATTGAGAAATATTTTTCAGTATGAGAAGACTTAATCAGATTTTCATTACATACCTGGTCAGGGACTAGGCTGAATGTTTCTTTAAGTGACTTGATAAAATGCACATAGAAGACTTATTAGTTATGTGAGAATCTGTATGAAGTGCTTATCATCTCTCCTGTGGGTGCCTGAGTATCACATACTTGGTTTACTGTGTTGGGTTGAATGCTTCTGTTCTAATTTCTAATGAACTTTACCACCAGACTACTTGATCATGACTAAACCCAGGAACAATGCAAATGGAATTGCCCCCTGATGGGGAGGAATGGGCCCAGATGGCCCTTAAAAGGTGATAATTAGGAAATATAGCATATCTGAGTAGCTAGAAAGAGAGAAACTTGTTAAAGACAGTCAATCTGTTTGAAGCAATGGTCTTTCCTTAATTATATGCATTTTTATTTGGAGTTGCTTTAAAGTAAAAATTTCCCAGGAAAATTCTTTATTAGTAGCTAAACCTAGAAATGACACCCATTTTTTTCCTGCTACTTTGAGATTATTTTGAAAATTCTTTTTTTCTTACTTTTTTTTGGTTTTGTAGATCTGTGTGACAGACTTGCTGTGTGTGTTTTAGGGGGGCGGTTTAGGTTATTTTAGCTCTTATGCTAAAACAGTGGGGGAGTGATCAAAAGTGAGAAAAATATTGGTATATATTTGTAAACTGAGCTTTTAAAATTAAAATAGTTGCAGGATATTACAGTCTGTGATTTCATATACTTTGTAAGATTGCCTTAAATGTATTTGCCTTCTTGGCAGCATAATCTCCAGATTCTTGAATGTGTCATTAAAATGATTTTACATATGAGAAGTTGGACGTTTTAAGCATTATATTTTTATCTCAATTAGCATATTTGCATTTGCTAATGATATCATTCCTTTGGTTTCTCTGTAGTCAGATTTTTTTAGTGTACAAACTTGGCATTACTAGAAGAATAACAAGTGAACTGAGAATGAGAAAGTGGTGACATAAAGAGAAGAAATATGCTCAATGTATCTCTTCTAGTTTCTACATGGAATGGAGTATGGAGAAATTAGCTGTTCCTGGGAATTAAAGCACAGAGCAAAAGCTGTAATGGCCAGAAGGCAACTTTTTCCTTCTTTGTAAAATCAGAAAGTAAAATTACATTGAAGTGCTAAATTACATTATTCCAAATATCTTGGCAGTCATATTTTGGCAGATGAGTTGCTTTCCTGAAATTACTCAACATCATCCTTCATTCTGACAAAAGCCAGTGGTACAGATGCACCTTTGGGACTGTGGCCAAGGTAAGACCAACATTTTCCAGGTCTGCCCACTCAGGTTTCAAAGGACTGTCCATAAAATAAGCCCCATACTCCAAGCATTGCCCTTCCCATCCTTAGGTAGCACACTCAAGCTGAAGTGTAGGGGTTTCAGAATCTAGTCCTTGGGACTTAATACAAATTCATAAAGTATCTTCTTCCACTCAAAAACCTCTTAGAGTCTTTGCCATTTTAAGCCTAGTTATTGAAAAACAGATACAGATCATTTTCCATTTCAGGATTCCAGAAACATAGATTCCAAGACAGAATGGAGAAGCATCATGCTTTCCTTCAGCAAGCTTCAGGGGATCAAGAATGATCCATAAGTATACTATTTATAGGATGTTTTGAATTATATGTTTGCAATCATTGGAAGGTTGTCCCAAAAGAAATAATCTGGCTCAAATTTCTTATAATTTAGTGCAGGCATGCTTAAGGGAAGAAAAAGTCAAGGGGAAAATTGGAGCTAAAAATCATAGCTATCTTTGCCCTGGCCAGGTACCCAGTAGGTTTACATCCCATGTCTCCAACTATCAATGAGAGAATGCTTTGGAAGATTGTATTTAATTATTTCAACTTTAGTAATTGCAAGAAAGATCTAGAACTGTTTACTGAACAGTTACATTTATTTACTGTTACTTTCTAGGTGCTATCTAACTTGAAACCTTTATAGTTGAAATTTTTACCATCACAGAACAGGCTCTGAGGAGAAAAACAGCTTTAATGTTTTAAATGTTTCTTAAAGGGATTTAAATTTGACTAAAACCAAATTTGCCTTTTCTTAACATAACTAAAACATGATTGCTATAACAATATTTGGAATTTTAACAGCAAATATAAAGAACCAAGTTGAAATAGCCCAGAAGATGGATGGCAATTAACTCTGCATTCTTTTTCTGACTGTTTTATTGATTAGCTCTCTAGACTCAAATAGGTTATATCCTCTGAGTAGTAAATTGCATTCCATTTGTAAGCTCTGTGGATGAGATTTGTATGTGGCCTAAATGCTATCCACATTGTTGTGTTAAGTAGCATTTTCTCTCTCTGAACCTTCTCCCCACCCCAGTGGAAAGTTTTATCCATTTTTCCTGCAGGAAGAGGAGGTGGCATGTGGTTTGGCGCCATCTTCTTTTTTATTGTTAAATCCGCTAAAGCCGGTCATGCCTGGCGGTACCAAGCAAGCTTTTTCCGGTGTTCTGGTCTGCTAAGCATTCGGAGCTCTTTGCTGTTTATTTACGTGGAATGTTTTCAGCTTCTGTCTTCGCTTTAAAAGCTGATTAAAAGGAACCTTTAAAAAAATGAAAAGAAAGTAACTTTTGGTGTAGGCTTTTTCTTTCTGGAATCTTCCCTTGTCTTCCTGCCCACCACTCCATCACCTCTTTCCCCCTTCCCCCAACAGCATGTAATTTTTTAAATGTTAAAAGTGTTTTAGGAAGCTCATTAATACTGCACAGCTTGGAGGATAAGAGAATGGATGACTCCCCCAGCACCGATTGTTCACGTCATCAGCATTCCAGTTCTACTTGTCATTACTTGATAATGTTCCTGAACAGCTGCCCTTTGGAGGGTGTTGGTACTAAGACAAACCCTCCTGTCATTTATCTCACTCACAAGCACAACTCTTTTGAGATAATTAATATCAAACTTATGTATGAGAATCTACCATTTAATGGGTAGATTCCTTTTCAACACATACTTTTGAGTTCGATGGGGAGGGGGGACCCCATCTATTTAAAAAAAATAATTAATCACATACTTCTGACATTTTCCTTTTGTCTTTCCTCAGGGGCAAAGTTATTTGAATAACAAACAAACAAAAACCCCTCATCTCAAATAGCTGTCAACCTCCTACTTTCAACAAAAGCTTTCTGTCTCACTGAGACCTACAGTGTCCTGTTTGGTTAGAGGCAGCAGGGTGGTATAGACACTATGCAGAAAGGCTTGGGCTAATAGCACTTTCTGGATTTAGTGTCTCTGCTGATTAACTCTTGGATTACTACTTTGAGTTTCTAACCCACCGTCACCACCCCATGCAGAATTTCCAACATGGTAACCTCTTGTGTAGATGCCTTTCCCTAGATGCTCAAAGGGTAAACAGCACAGAAATTTGTAAGCACCATGGTTTTCAAATGAACTGAAAGCAAAAAGCTTGAGCACTACTTCTTGTTTCTTTGACCTAAGGACCATTGTCTTAATATCTAAATTGATCTAGAGCCGTAAATAAGCTGTGCAAATTAACTTTTAGATACACATCTTTAGGTCTTTATAGTTTGAACCAACTGTAACGTAGAAACTCCGATTCATTTTTGGGGAGGGGGACCGGAGGTGGTCAGGGATCAGAGATCCTCCTTGCCTCTCAATTGATGCTGAAGGAGCTTTCAAAGCCACAAATTTAAAATACATTTTGTGTCATGAAACAGGACTGTTTCTTTTTTTTTTTTTTTTTTTTTTATCCTCACCCGAGGATATTTTTCCATTTTTTGTACAGATAGAGTGGGAGGGAGAGAGAGAGAGAAACATCGATGTGAAGGGACACATCGAGTGGCTGCTACCCGCACGACCGACCAGGGCCGGGGACAAACTGCAACCGAAGTACGCGCCCTTAGTGGGAACCGAACCCGGGTCTCTCCGGACCGCAGGCCGACGCTCTAACCGCTGAGCCAAACTGGCCAGGGCGAAACAGGACTGTTTCTATCAAGTAATAATAGTTTCAGAAAGTGAAACTTAGTGTCTATTCTTTATGGCCAGGAGGTATCAAAATCAGCAGTGAATCCAATGACTTAATCAGTTTTCTTCATTTATTCATTCATTCTTCATTTGAAGAAAGGACTTAGAACCTTACTGTGTTCTTAATACAAACAGGCCTGTTCCCTTCATCACAACTACTCCCACTCTAAGCTTGCATAGCATTTTAAAATAATAGTTTTATTGAGATATTATTAAATAACATAAAATTCACGCTCTTAAAGTGTGCAATTCAAAGTGTTTTTAGTCTATTCACCAAGTCGTGCAACAGTCACTGCTATCTAATTTTAGAGTTTCCTCACCCGTGAAAGCAGCCCTGCAGCATTAACAGTCACTCTCCATGTTCCCCTCTTCCCTTCCCCTAGCAACCCCCGATCTACTTTCTGAATCTATAGCTTTGCCTATTTGGACATTTCATATACATGTAATTGTATAATTGTGCCCTTCTGTGTCTGGCTTCTTTCACTTAGCGTACTGTTTTTAAGGTTCATTCCTGTTTTAGCATGGATCAGAATTTCATTCCTTTTTATGATCAAATAATGTCCCACATTATTAAGAATAAGAATAGACCACATTTTATTTATCCATTCATTCATCATGGACATTTGGGTTGTTTCCAGGTTGGGACTATTATGAATAATGCTGCTATGAACGCAGTGGACATATGTTTTCAGTTCTCTTGGATAGACCAAGGGATAGAATTGCTGGGTCATATGGTAGCTCTGTGTTTCCCATTGTGAGGTACTGGGATGCATAACGTTTTGTGCCTATGTTAGGAAACTAATTATGAAACAACTTACAGTCAGTTATCATTAGGCTTGTCTCTTCCACTAGGTTTTACGTTTCTTTTTTTTTTTTATCCTCACCTGAGGACATTTTTAAATTTATCTTCAGATAGAGCGGGAGGGAGAGAGGGAGCAAGAGAGAGAGAGAAACATCGATGTGAGAGAGACACATTGAGTGGCTGCCACCCACACAACCCCAACCTGGGCCGGGGACAAACTGCAACTGAGGTATGTGCCCCCAGAGGGAACTGAACCTGGGACTCTCCAGTTCGAGGGCTGGCGCTCCAACTGATGAGCCAAACTGGCCAGGGCGGTTTTACGTTTCTTGAGACAGGGATTGTCCTTGTTCGTCTGTGAACTCCCCTCCCCAGTCCAGTACCCACCAAGTGACATAGTAGATTCTCAGAAAGTTGTTGAGAATGGAGCTGAGCAAAGCAGTGTCCTGTTGCCTATGGCATTACCAACACCCCCGAAACTCAGATTCTGAACCCCCCTTCTCTGTAACAAGTGACAGCTTGTCAGGAATACAAGCTCTGTATTGCCCATGGAGCTTTCCAGCTGGTTGCTGACCCTCTTTATCTGCCGTGGGGCCTTCATCTGGATCTTGAGATTTCTCCAGGCTGCCTCATGGCCACAAGCAGCATTAGGACCCCACTCCGGTTTATGCAGATGCTTTAAGAGAGATTATTTTAAGCACCAGTGAAACCCAAGCAGAGGTAGGGCTGGTGGATACCCCGGCATTTGGGTGCACACCCCTTGATTGACATGGTTCACACATCTACTTAAGGGGGATTTGGACAAGGAGGCACTAAAATGCCTATCTAAGCTTTGACTTGGAACATTGTGTAGGAGGTTTAAGAAAGCTTATTTTAAGACTTTCTCAGAATACTAGAGCAATGTCTTTATGATTTATTCTGCTACCTTTCATTTAGAGCCTGTGATTTCTAATAACATCTATTTCAGGTTGGATTTAAGAGACAGAGCTGGCTTCTACTGAATTGGCCACCTTTGATGTTACAGTACTGAGGAGGGGAGGGACAGATGGAACAAAAGTCGTAATTGCCCAAATTTACAATAGTTCCCCAGCAACAGCAGCACAAAAGAAATGTTAATGCAATAAACTGTAAATGGAAGGAAGCTGAGTAGGATTTATGGCTGGTGCAAACCTGCACCCAGTCACCGGAACCTCCTTCCTCCATTCCTGAGGCATTTCAATAGACACAGAAGAAATGAGCTCATTTGAAAGCCAGTGACCACTCTGCATCCTTCCTTCCATATATGTCTCGTACCCCTTCAACAAACGGATTTCTGCAAAACCTGGGAAATCTGATAGAACAGTTGGGGGGGAAAGATCAGTCATTGAGGGCTCACACCTGAAATCCTGGCTGGGCCAGGAGCACACATCAGCTGTGAGCATATGCATTACAGCTGCAACCAAAGCATGCGTTGTTTCCTTCTCCTCTGAGTTGGGGATCTCTGCAGATACAACAGATGGCCAGAGTGTTTCCGTGTCTCAGCCACAAAGTGAGAGGGCAGTGTGTCATTCGCCAGTCAGGCACTTACCTATCCGTCAGGGCCACTGCTATAAGTGGCTGTTTTTCACATTTGGGTTCCTGCAGCTTTCATTTCCATTTAGGCTCACACATACCTTTACCTGTGTTGTAACGTGTGGGTTTTTGTTGTCTCCTTGTCCAGACTGCTGTCCTGTTCGGTTTTTTAATTAGCTGAGGAGCACAGTCTAAATGGAAAATTGCTTTCTGAGATCCCAGTTCTCTGGTTCCATGCTGTGAGGGGCTCCCTGTAATTAAACACGTTTTAAGAGTTGTTCTCTTGCGAATGTGCTGTGGATGTCAGTGCCTTCCCACTAGCTGCAGAGTTCTGTTTCGGGCCCAAGACCTAAATATTAATGTTAATACTAGGTATAATTTTTTAAAACTTGCATATCAATTGATTAAATATGAGGGATTTTTTTCCCCTCTCTTGGTAGTTGGAGGAAAGCAATTCTTATGCCTTGTAGGGTTAGGAAAATGACTAAGCATTGTGAAGCACTGGGAGGAAGCTGCATAGGAGGTCATGAGATCAGGAGCACAGATGTCAGCAAATTTGAGAAGTCTTTAGTCCCCTGTTCTGGTCCCCACAGTGAGGAGAATGGAGTCCCCTCACAGATCTAGAATTCTAACTTTCAAAATAAAGTATCCATATTTCAAATTCCTGCTACAGTTTCAAATACTGCACAAGTAGTGCCGTGGAGCTTGGGCACAGAGTAGAATGTTATTGGGGCCTCTTCCTTGTGGGGGAATCAGTTCATTAGTAATTAACAAAGGATGAAGGAAGCCTTTATGAAGTTTTGGCTTAGAGGCTCAAAATACAAATTTAGAGTAACCATCTGTAAGGCAGTCATTAGAGCAAGTCTGACACTCTCTGTAGAATGCCATGCTCTCCCCTACAAATCTTTTCTGAAAAAGCCTTTGCAATTGTTCCTAGTCAACATGTGGACAAAGTTATGGGGCATATAGAAGTCTGATATCAAAACCATGTAATAAAGATCATTCATTAGGCAAAATTATTGGAATTAAAATCCACTCTTAAGGTGCTAATATACGACACATGGCACATGGTAAATTTGATCACTTCCTAGGAGGCCCAGACTTAGGCAAGAAAGAAAAGGATGAAAAGAAAGATGAGTAAATAAGAGCATATACGCATACTCAACCTCTATTTTTTCCACAAATGTACACACCCATATTTCATGACCTATGTCTTCTTCTGACCCTATCTTCTCTATGATTTATGGCAGAGCCCATATATTTCTATGTATTTCTGCTATTGGTACTTTCCCAAACCATGGACCATTGTACTCTAATACCCTGACCCATTTGGGCAGTTTCTTTGAGCTGCTTTCTTATTTTTGAGTCTTAGTTGATGGTTAAGGGTTGTGACCATAAAAAACACATGGGATTTCAATATGGATTTGGAGAGCCCCTGAGTTGTAATTGCGGTACTCTGGCTTCCTTGTCTGTGAAATGAGGACAATTAGAGTCTTGGAAGGTGGTTGTAGAGAGGTGTGCAGACAGTGGAGTTGTTTGCAACAACCTTCCTATTTCATTTCATCTACACATGTTACACGCTTGTGGTTTTTAGTCTCACTTGGATCCTCTTTTGTGCTGATGGTGCCTCTGCTTCACCCCACAGCTTTTTCAGTCTCAGGGTTAGCAGGCCACTGGGTCAGCAGGTGTATTTGACAACATGCATTAGGTTTAATATTAATAGGAAAGAGATTAATTAAGGATGTTAATATGGTTTAACATGAAATCTTATGAAGCCTCACCGGACATGTGAAACAACAATCCATACAACACTCAGCATCACATGCTTTTGAACATTTTGAAGACGATTTGCCTGGCTATATTTTTTCAGTTGTTGGTATCAAATGGGCTCAGGATGGTCATGCCTTGATGGAGTTTCTAGTAGAGGGATTAGTGTCATTTCTGGGCCCCCACCAGAATTTCATTCAGGTTATAAGTAGTCATGTGAAGTCATAGGTTAAATGATTTGGGAATAAAATGTCATCTGACATGACAGAAATGAACCCTCAGAGGCCCACAGTTCCTCTGGGACTTGCTCTCACTTACAGTTCTTGTGTTAAGTAATTTTATTAACTGAGGCAAGGAGGGGCATGAGCTGACAAGAGAAATATTTTTTTGTTAACATTTTAATCCTAATCACAGAATTTATTGTGTGCAGCTTTATATGCATTTGTAGCTATAAAGCCCTGGAAAATGATGAAAGTAAAAATTAGAATGCGTTGTTTTTCTTCCCAGGTGTTATTTCAAGCATTGTGTACATTGTCAAAAAGATTAATTGTTGTTGCTTGCAGCTAAACAGATGATAAATTTTAAAATTATATTATTACTGTGTGTCAGCATAAAAGCTCTGTGTCCCCAGTGCGTCACCTCTCTCTGTTGCTGTTGACAAGGCTCACATTTTATAGCACACCGCCAGAAGGTGTTGACATGTATTCAGATCACTGATTAAATGTTTTAAAAACGTGCCACTCATAAACTAACCCTGATGTTCTAGGAAAGAGTCATTTTTAGGAGTAAGATTTTTTTCTTCATCATTGACACAGAAGAGATTTTAAACATTGCCATTAACAAAAACAAAAACAACCTTATGTGACTACATTTTCTTATTTTAAATTGTGGAACAGAAGAGGAAATGTTTTTCAGTATTCTCGTCTCTTCTCCTTCACAGGAAAGGCAACAACATGGTGTAAAAATATCCCAAGGAAGGTGCTAAATGGTTACTTGTAAACCACCCTTGTTGGGCTCAGGACCCATGATGCAGGAGCATGAGGGCGGTTCTGAGGTGATACTGGTGTAGTCAAGTCTGGTGTTGTGACTCCTTCGCAGTTCAGTGCTGTGACAGCCCTTGTGCTGCAATTATAACAACAGACAACTTCTACACAGCAGCTGAGCAGTGCAGAAGCCTCCGGATTCCTTTTCACACTGTAATGCTTGAAGGCATCCCTGATCATGGGATTCTGCATTTTGTGGATGACACAGGCTGGCCTTTAGACCAAGGCTTCACTGAAGTCAGGTGTATATTTGCTGCAGTGATAAACGTAAAGCCTTGAGAATCAACATTTTAATGCTTTGCTTTTCTGTGTATTTGTGGGACACTGTCAATATATTCTTTTGTTTCTCTGAGCACAGCATGAAAGAACTTTAAAGCAAATAATTTATTATTCATTATGGAAAAGTTGGCTTTTTTCCCCCCTCTCTGATTGTCAGAATTGCTTTGTCGATGTCAGTTTGGGGTGTGGATTTTCCCCTCCCTGTACAGAGGACGTTGACATTGCTTCAGTGATGTTTCAGAGGATCATGTCAAACAGCCATGAGCCTATGTCAATTGTCACTTCACCCCAGCATGGAGCAAGCTTAGAGATGTTTCACTGTCAGCCTTGGGTGCCCTCGGGGACCAAATCTCTAAATGATCTCTGTGACCAAAAGTATATGGGAGGTTACGAATAGCATGTCAGCAGTAATGATAGCTATCCTTTCCGAAGCACTTAAAGAGTATCAAGAGCTCTGTGCACTTCACATATATTGTCTCATTCAATTCCAGCAACATAACAGCAGCAATGTGAGGATATGTGTTTACCCCCATTCTCACCCCATGAGTGAAGCAAGACTCAGTCACTCCCGGTAAGTGGCAGCCCACATTGGAACCCAGGTATGTCAGATTTCAGAGCCACATCACATTCATCAACAACTACCTACTTATTATTATGTGTTTGGCACTGCCTTTCATCACATGTCCTTTCAATCAGTTTTTTTTGTTTTGTTTTGTTTTAGTCTACTTATTTGGGGCTTTTAAAGAATTGGCTCATCATTGAAAAGGGAAGCCTTATGTAGAATTTCCTGCAAGTTCAGGATAAAAGAAAGACTAAGAGCCTTGAGGTTTCCTGCCTTAAAGCATATGTGGGGGGAAAGGTTAAGATGCTCCCTGGAAAATACTCCCTCAATACTCCATCTCATTCGCGTTGGGCATCTGGAGGTGCCTTTAGAGCTTCCGAACTTATATCTAAATACTTTGCTCGGTTACACAGGAAACTGATAACGCTGATGGGTTTCATGGAGGTGAACTGGAGACAGATGGAGGGGCGGGTGAGAGGAATACTTTTCACTAGGAACTCTTTTTTTTTTAATCCTCATCCGAGGACACTTTTCCATTTTTTTGTACAGACAGAGCGGGAGGGAGAGAGGAAGAGAGAGAGGGAAACATCGACGTGAAAGGGACACATCGAGTGGTTGCCACCCTCACGACCAACCAGGGCCGGGGACAAACTGCAACCGAGGTACATGCCCTTAGCGGGAACCGCACCCGGGCCTCTCCAGACCGCAGGCGGACGCTCTAACCGCTGAGCCAAATCAGCCAGGGCACTAGGAACTCTTTAATACCTTTCTGGGACCGTGTGAATATACCATTTCAAAAAAAAAGGATATTTTCTCATAAAAGTATAATCTAGTTGAAATGAACATTTTCCTGGATCCAGACTATCATGGAAATGTTAGTAGTTCTAAATTTGCTCTTTTATTCTGTGGGATGCTCTGTTACCCAGTTTGTGTTTCCCTTTGTCCCTTCATCCTTTACTTCCTGGGCCACCATCTCCACAGTGCTTTCTCTATTTGATTAACCATAGCATCTTAGATGAAGTCTGGTGATTTTTATTTCTTCCTACCTTGCAACTCTTGTTTTTTTTTTTTAAAAATATGTAGATCTCTTTGGGTGACATTTGTTTCATAAATATGTTCTTTACACAGGAGATTTATTCAGAAAAATCTTCATATAAAAATGTCTTTTAAATTTTTAAAAATGTTTTTATTGGATTTTGAGAGAGAGAGGAAAGGAGAGATAGAAACATCGATGTGAGAGAGAAACATTAATTGGCTGCCTCCTGCATGCCCCCCACTGGGGATTGAGCCCACAACCTGGGTATGTGCCCTGACCAGGAATCGAACCGGGATCGCTCAGTCCATGGAACAATGCTCAATCCACTGAGCCACACCAGCCAGGCTAAAAAATTTCTTTTATATAAGACACTTTTTTTCCCTTCAAAAATTCATCATCTGGGTTTAGAGTAGAATGGAGAGTTTAACCTTAGTCATTTACTATCCACTGGTTGGAACTTTTCTATTTTTCTGTCAACTGGCATAAAAAAACTTGTGCATGTGTGATAATGTGTAGCATTCATAAAGACATGTAGAATACCTATATGTTCTATAAATTTTATATTTATAAAACAAAACCAAAGCTTATGTACATGGAAATACTCCCGTGTTTGCAGTTGTCAGTGATTTCTAAAGAAAACCGTTGCTGTCAAGGAGAAAAGCCTGAGTAAGCCTTCTTCATGCGTTAATGATGTTCAGATCTTCCCTCTCCTTCTCTGTGAGCATGTCATTCATTTCCTCCAAATCTTCGGATGTCTTTTTTCTTTATCTGACACATTACAGGAAGAGTAAAAGAAAGATTTATTCAGATAACTTGGATGGTTTCATTCTCTTTTTGGAAGTTCACTGGTTTAGTTATAGGGATGTTCTTGAAACATTTAAAGGCCCATTCTGAATTTTAAAATAGCCCAATGGGAATCAGGTGGTTTTCTCTAAATCTAAATCATGATTATAAACTAATTTGGATGCTAATTAGGTCTTAAATAATGATCATGGCATTAACTTGTTTGTCCCATGCAATGCATTTCTTTCTTTGATAAGTTATGTATTCACATTATGACCTGTGAACAGGGAAACCAACCAAAGTGTTGAGTGCTTTCTATGCAACAGGCACTCAGCAGTGTACAGACAATCCCCAAAGGGACAGGTCCACAGCCCAAGATTGGGCTTTTTAACAGTCAGCACTCAATAAATACCTGTTGTTTAAATTGATGAAATTAATGCAAAAGGAAGTAGCACACTATAGTACACCACTTGGTTGTTCCAGTTTTTTTTTTTTTTTTTTTGGAAGGAGTTAGGGATGGGGTTTGAGGATGGGAGGGCCTTCAACTGAGTAAGGTACTTCCTTACCCAGCCTCAGTTTCCCCACCCATGGATATTAGACAAACAAAATGTGGACCATTTCACAAATTTGCATGTCAGCCTTACACAGGGGCCATGCTAATCTTCTGTGTACCTTTCCAGTTGTAATATATGTGCTGCCAAAGCGAGCCCTGTTCCAGATCATTAAGCACTTGGTTGTCAATAGACTGACTTCCGTCATCTGCACAGGTCATCCTTAGCTCTTAGCCTTTTATCTCCCTTAGCATTGTGCACACAGCCAAACTCAGAGGTGACTCACAGTTATCTAAAGCATTTAGAAACCTCAGCTGCCTTCATCTCACCTGGCACATTGCAGCGATGCATCTGTTTACATCATTTATAATGTTTACAACATTACATGTAACCAAAATACAATGAAGGCATTAAACATAGAATTACCATATGATCAGCAATTCCACTTCTGGGTATATACCCAGAGGCATTGGAAGGAGGAACTCTTAACAGACATTTGCACACCCATATTCATCATTATTCACAATAGCCAAAAGGTAGCAGCGGCTCAAGTGTCAGTTGATGGATGAATGGATAAACAAAAGTGGTATATCCACACAATGGAATATTATTCAGACTTTAAAAGGAAGGAAATTCTGGCACAAGCTATAACACAGATGACCCTTGAAGATGTTATGCTAAATGAAGTAAGCCAGAGGGAAAAGGACAAATATTGTATGATTTTACTTCTATGAGGTACCAAGAGTAGTCTAACTCATAGAAACAGAACATAAAACAATGGTTACCAGGGGCTGGAGGAAGTTAGTTTTCAACAGGTATAGAGTTTCAGTTTTGGATGATGATGAAAGTTCTGGAGATGGAGGATGCTGATGGCTGCACAACAGTGTGAATGTACCTAACGCCACAGAACTGTACACTTAGAAATGGTTAAAATGGTATACTGTGTATTTTATATATCTTACCACAATTAAAAGAACAAAAACATAAGAAGGCAAAGCTAGTGGAAAAGTTACAATGTATCCCTGAATCAAATAGCTCCAGAAGAGCAAAAATATAAAAAATGTTTCAAAACTTTATGTAAATTTAGTCTCCCACTTTCTAGGTCTCTTGTTGAATGACTATGGCTGTGATGTTGTCAGGGAGGCTCAGGGGCTGCACTGTGGCAGAGATGGCTTTTGGATTCTTGGTAATTGTAGATGATCTGTGCCATGTATTATTTCTGAGACAGAAACTTATCAATAGAGCTTCAGTGTGTAGAAGGTGACATGGAGTAATTGCATCTTTCTTGGACATTTGGCATAAAGACAGCTGGTAAAAGGAAAGTCACATATACTCAAGTTCAAATCTCTTATGATGGTCTGTTAGATCAACATGTCACTGAGTTGATCACAGGCTTGTTTTCCCTCCAGCACTGGAGCAGATCTGCATTTCTTCTGCTAAGTGTCAAGGGAGACAGTGGCTGCATTTAGAGTCAGAGATACATATTCTTAAATTTTTTTAAAACATTTTTTTAAATTGATTTTTTTGTTTGTTTTGTTTTTTTGAGAGAGAGAAAGAAGGAGGGAGGAAGTGAGGAAAGGAGAGGGACAGAGGAAGGGAGAGGAAGAGAGAAAAAGAGAGGGAGAGAGAAAGAGAAACATCAGTGTGAGAGCGGAACATTGATAGGCTGCTTCCTACAGCCCCTTACTGAGGATCGAGCCCACAGCCTTTCAGTGCACAGGACGATGCCCAACCAACTGAGCCACACTGGCCAGGGCCGCACATTTTGAAATTTGATTTTAAACTCAGGCATCACAGTTAGTCCCCAAGACAGGAGGAGAGGCTTGGAGGACTTGGGAAACTTTCATAGACTGACTTCCATCTTTTCTTTCTTCCTAGTGAGTCAAGTGGCAGAGCCTGGCATACTGGTTAAAGGATTTCTCTTTCTCTTTAGACTTTCTCCCCGCCAAGTACATTTAGTTGAATTTGAATACTTTAAATGCAAGTGTGACATCATTTTTTTTTCTTTTTCTTTTTTTTTTAGGGAGAGAGAGATAGAAACATCAATGAGAGAGAACATTGATTGGCCGCCTCCTGCATGACCCCACTGGGGATTGGGCCTACAACTTGTACATGTTCCCTGACCAGGAATCGAACTGGCGACCTCTTTGGTGCATGAGTTGACACTCAACCAGTGAGCCACACCAGCTGGGTGACATGATTATTTTTTAGAGGGAAGTTTCTCCTTGATTTTTGGATTAATGATTTTGGATGATCATTTACAATGATATATTTTATAACAAAAACACATTTTAGAGTTTGAAGTTCTAGTTACTAAAAAAGTTCTCTCTGTAATGGCAGTTAATCATATTGGTGCTGAAATGACAGCTGACTTTGTATTGGGGAGTTGATAAAGCCTGGTGGTTTGCATATTTGCCCATATTGTGCTTTTTCCAGGCTAGCTTCCCAAATATCATCATTTCAGAATTGTTTTAGTAGAGTTGGGGCACACACAAATCATTAATGTATGTGTCTTCTGCTACCAAGCACGTTCTTTTGGACTTCAAAGTCTATGTGTTCTATGATAGATGCCACTTAGCATTCATCCTGGACTTAAGGACACTACCAGTGACCTGCTGGGTGCTTTGGACAATGGCCCTTCTTCACTATGCAGAAATTCTATACCACCCACCAGGCTTGTACATTCTGCATTCAGGTACTTCATTCATTCATTCACTTTTATTTATTGATTTTCTTACAAAGATATCTGAATGGGTGGAATGCTGTCTTATTATGTACAGAGTAAAGGGTAGTGGTTAGCACTTTAAACCCATAGGGAACAGATTCTGAAATCCTAGCTCCATTAATTACCAGCTGTTTGATCTTGGGCAAATTACTTAACTTCTCTGTGCCTCATCTTTCTCATTTATAAAATGGGGATAATTGGTTAAGAGGATTATATGAAATGTGCATTGCACAGTGTCTGGCACCCAATAAGAGGCCCATAAATATTAGCTGTTGTTACAGGTTGAATTGTGTCTCTCTTTCCCCAAAATTCATGTGTTGAAATCCTAACTCATAGTACCCAGAATGTGACTGTCTTTTGAAATAGGGTTGTTGTAGATGTAATTAGTTAAGACAGTGTCATTTGGGTGGGAACTTATCCAATATGCCTGGTGTCCTGAAATAAAAGATAAATTTGGCCACAGAGACAGACATGCTTGGAGGGAAGACTGTGTGAAGAGACATAGGAGAAGATGGCCATCTACAAGCCAAGTAGAGAGGCCTGGAACAGTTCCTCCCCTCCGCCCACAGAAGGAACCAACCCTGCCTTAATTCCAGACTTCTAGCTCCAGAACTGCTAGAAAATACATTTCTGTTGTTTAAGCCACTCAGTTTGTTGTAGTATTTCGTATAGCTGACATTATCACCCTCAGCTCTCTTCTCTGTGTTTCTCATTAACCTGAGACTCTAACTCTGCCTATTTCCTGGCCAACGGGAAGTATATTTGCTCCTTTTCAACCTGTGTTTTTCCCTTCCCTCCCCTTCTCCCCTTCCTTTTTTTTTTCTCATGAAATAGCATGCAAAAAACATTTCCTAGTGAGAACAGGTGTTTAAAAAAAAACCCAAAAACAAACAAACAAAAAACCATGCTCTTTCATTCATGTGTCTTCTTAAAACGCTGTAGCTGAAAAGTTTGTTTTCTCTCTTACCACATTTCTTCTCACCTTCTCATCTTGATCTCTCTTTTTTATAACCCTTTATAAATTTTTAACTTCTGGAGATTTCCTACCCTCTCCCAAATTCTTGAGGAGAGGTGGGAGTTTATTTTGTAGGCTTTGATGTGTGAATTCTTTCAATAAAAAGACATGTAGCCCTGGCTGGTTTGGCTCAGTGGTTAGTTAGAGCACCTGCCAGAGGACTGAAGAGTCTCGGGTTCAATTCTGGTCAAGGGCACGTACCTCGGTTACCGTTTGATCCCCAGCCCTGATTAGGGTCAAGTGGGAGGCAACCAATCGATGTGTCTCTCTCACATCAATGTTTCTCTCTCTCCCTCTCCTTCTCCCTCTTCCTTTCTCCCTCCCTCACACTCTATCTGAAAATCAATGGAAAAAATATCCTCAGGTGAGGATTAAAAAAAGAAAGAAAGAAATGCAGACGAGTGGCTGTATGAAATGAAGCAATAGGAAAGATGTGGTTGAGAAGAGAGCCCTCTGACTGCATTCCAGTAGATGACTTCACTCCTACCTATCTTTAAATTGGTGGCTTGGGGTTTCCTTTGTTTGTTTGTTTTTCGCACAATTTGAGATTGGACAGTGTTTCTCCTTCCCCTCCAGAGGCCTGGAGCAGTGTGGCCGGTTGCATCCTGCATTGGGCAGCACTAACATTTGTTCTTCCCAGGGACCGTCTGCTCCTTTTCTCTGCCCCAGTGGAGCTAGGGGAATAATAAAGCTGTTCTTATTTATACTGCATTTTTGTCAGTGGTCTTTGTCATTGAAACTTAAGAGGTCAGTGTATGACATGAGGGTATTTGTGAGCTTTATCCAACAGGGAGAGAGGCAAAAGAGGGGGTTATTTTTCCAGGGGTGTTACTTATCCAAACCCTGTCAGTTTCCCAGTTCTTTTCTTTACCCTTTTCCTGTGCTGTTCTTTCACAGGCTTTATAGTGACCGCTGAACTTGCCACCCTTGTCCAGCCCTTGCCTCCTTGCTGCCGCCACCACCCTGTCGATCTACCCCTTCTCATCTGCACTGTCCCCCTAGCTCCCAACCAGTTTCCTGCCACTGAGGAATCTATGAAATCTATCTTCTTAATTATCAAGTTTCTCTGTGGTTGTCTCTAATTTCCCGCTCATTTAAATATCCTTTCCTTCAAGGCCAGAAGAGGAATCGGCAGTCTCGGAAAGAGCAGGCCCTGACTCAGCATCACGGCTCTCACTCTCCTACCCTCTACTCCGAAAGGAACCTGCTTCCTGCCTCCCTGGTTTTCTTCGATGGGATGAGTCATTCTTCCTCTCCAGTGTCACCCCCTCCTGATTTCTTTCTTCTCCTTGGGGAGTCTTAGTGCACCAATTTAGTCCCTCTCTCTTCTGGCTTGTTATTCCTTGCCCCTTTGTGGAAATCTTCTCCACAGCCTACAAAGGTATTCTACACATGTCTGCCAAAAATGAAATAAAACATAAACTTTCCTGAGCTGTCAATGTCACCCAACTTCCCTTGATGCCTTACTTCTTATAGAGTGGTCTGCACCCACCTTCCCTACGTTTCATTAAAGTCCCATTGAGCCCTGGCCGGTTTGGCTCAGCGGTTAGAGCGTCGGCCTGCAGTCCGGAGAGACCTGGGTTCAGTTCCCGCTAAGGGCACGTACCTTGGTTGCAGTTTGTCCCCGGCCCTGGTCAGTCATGTGGGTGGCAGCCACTCGATGTGTTCCTTTCACATCGATGTTTCTCTCTCTCTCTCTGTTCCTCTCTCTCCCTCCCACTCTATCTGAACAAAAAATGGAAAAATGTCCTCGGGTGAGGATAAAAAAAAAAAAAAAAAAAAAAAATGTCCCATTGAATCCCCAGCCCATTAGGGCCGTGTTCATCCCTCTAACTCTGAAACTGACCCCTAAGACCTTGAATGCCTTCAGAATTGCCAAATCTAAGTCCCTGGGTTTTACACACACACACACATACACACATACACATATTAAATTATATATATATATATAGTTTTTCTTTATTAATTTTAGAGGGAGAGGGAGAGGGAGAGAGGTAGAAACATCAATGAGAGAGAACATCAATTGACTGCCTCCTGAATATTCCTCACTGGAGATTTGGTCCACAACCTGGGCATATGCCTTGACTGGGAATCCAACTGGCGACCTCTTGGTGCATGGGTCGACGCTCAACCACTGAGCCACACCAGTGGGGCCAAATCCTGTTTTTAATCCTTATACTAGTTGACTCTTCCCAGCTCCTTGGTGCTATAGATCATGCCCTATTTCTCAAAACTCTCTTCCCTCTCCCCTAGCATTAAGGATGCTTATCTCCCTGGATTTCCATCCTTCTGTTGGGACATTTTTTGTTTCCCTAAAAGGGATTTTTAATCCTTCAGTGGACCCTAAAATCCTGATACTGCCCAGGGTGACTTTTCCTCTAAGTCATTGTCTTTGATGATAATATCCTTTTCATTTACAGTGGTCTCAGAATTTTATTTTAACCTGGATGTTTTTATCGCTGCTCAATTTTGTGTATACCAAACTGAGTTTATTAGATTTCTCAAAAATATTTTTCTAAATAATGACTTGGTATTAGCATTTACCATGTTGTGTTATGATTTATCTCTTTGCCTATCAATCCAACAAAAATTTGAAAGGACTTGTGTTATTTTTACAAAATCTGTGCTTGATTGTTGCTGGTATATGGAAATGCTCCTTGATTTTTTAAATGAATATTTAAAGTTTTATGAAATAATATAAGATTCAGGGTTTTAAAAGTGAAATAATTTTGCAAGGCCTCCTAGACTCTATGTCTGGCTCCTAGCTCCCCAAGGCAACCACTTTGAACTCCTTTGGCTGTCTCACCTCCATGTCTTTACATAATATACAGTTTTTCTTGATTTTTTTACTTCAGTCTTAGATATTATCTTGGCTTCCTCCTATAGCAGATGAAGACATAGTTTTCTTTTTTTTTTTTTTATCCTCACCCGAGGACATTTTTCCATTTTTTGTTCAGATAGAGTGGGAGGAAGAGAGAGAGAGAGAAACATCGATGTGAAGGGACGCATCGAGGGGCTGCCACCCGCACAACCAACCAGGGCCGGGGACAAACTGCAACCGAGGTACGTGCCCTTAGCGGGAACCGAACCCGGGTCTCTCCAGACCGCAGGCCGACGCTCCAACCGCTGAGCCAAACCGGCCAGGGCGACATAGTTTTCTTTTGTTGTACCATACCCCTGTATAAACACTCCACACTTCTGTGTTTATCCTATGCCAGTGAGAACACTGTTCTCAGCTGAGCCACTTAGTACGCTGTCATTGTTTCCTTTCTGTTTAAAAATTTTTTTCTTTATTGATTTTTAAAGAGAGAGGAAGGGAGAGGGAGAGAGAGATAGAAACATCGATGAGAGAGAACATCAATTGACTGCCTCCTGCATGCCCTCCACTGGGGATTTGACCCACAACCTAGGCATGTGCCCTGACCAGGAATCGAACCGGAGACCTCTTGGTGCATGGGTCGACGCTCAACCACTGAGTCACACCTGCCGGGCTGTTTCCTTTCTTATACAACTTTTGTTCCCCTATAGTTTGTCATTGATTCCAGTTTTTATTGACCTTATTTTCTACTTAGGTAAAACTAATTTCCCCCCCAAACCCTCTGATAAAGGTATCCATATTAAACTATCTTTTCCTTAAAAAAAATTTTGTTTTTTAGGAATTCCTTCTGGAACCTTCTATCCTGAACTTGTTACCTTTTTATGCCAGCTGCATTTTTAAGTTTCTAGGACTTCTTTTATCTGTAATCCTGACTTTTGTCACTGAGTCTTCAAACCATATCTTCTTTCTTGGCTTATTTCTTCATTTGAGGTTGCATATCCTCTAGTAGTTACATGAAAAAGGGTGCTAAATAGGAAAACATGTTTGTGACTTTACATGTCTAAAAGTGTCTTCAATATTCTTTAGACTCATGGAGAATGTTTTCTTTGGAAAACATTTTCTCATAGAATGTTTAAA